AGAGGTATGTAAAATATGTATGTCGATCTCAACTACATGAAGAAAGTATTAAAAGCACAAGAGGACGTTTCTCAAGCAGGAGTTTCAGACACAATCGCTCATCGTGAAAAATTGAAAATACGATAGAGGATTGTTTTTGGACTGCCTGTTTGTTTATGCATCTGTAAATTGGCGTCTCCGACATCTCTAGATTTCAGAAAATTACATTGATTTGCGCATAATTGACGATGGTATCTTTGAAATTATGATTTATCTCGAGATCCTCGTAACGTGAAATATTCCTAAAATAGCGTATATTTATAGCGCTTTTCTTTCCTCATACCATTCAAAATTGTAACCTTCCTATTGGTAGATGATTGAAAAAACCTTGAGAAAAAATTCACCACTAGAGTAAGATATGTAGATGCGACAGAAGAAAACGAGTTGTCCTAAGAACAGTGTTTGCTGTTATCTAAATAAAATTATATAGATGATCATCTAGATGAAACTTTGGCGGCATCTTATCTTTATAGATAATAAAAAATATGAATTATCTGTATCTACATCTTAGATGAAAAAAAGTATTATCTAGAATAACTTTCAGATAATTGTGATTTAGAATTATAACACAGTCTTAAAAATTATTATCTAGAAAATTATCTAAATGAATCGCCATATAAATTTTGTCTTTTTTATCTAGATGTATTTAAAACGAAATCATCTTCATCTTATCTAAGATGAATTTCCATATTTTTATCTAGTTAATTTGCAAATCGTCTAAACACAACACTGCCTAATAGCGAATTCGATCGGGGATGCACTAGTGCGCACTGAGTGCATATAAAAGTTGATCACACACATAAGTTCACAGTGACACAAATAATAAAAAAAGGAAAATAATTAATAGTAAGAACCATTATTATTGTTGCTCAATATGAATAATGATAACAATACCCCTTACTATTAATTATTTTACTTTCTTAAATGTCATTGTAAAATTGTGTGCGATAACCTTTACGTGCACTCAGTGCGCACTAGTGCATCCAACCAAACTCGCTATAAGAAGCATCATCGATGCCGGCAGAAGTAAGATGAAGTAACTCGCGTTTCGCGGAGACAAAAGGCGTCCGATTAAAACAATAGAATCGGGAGAAGATCAGAGACGGAGCAAACCCACTAAAACTCGATCCCACTAATCCCACAGGAACGATTCGTCATGATCGTCAGTCAGTCGTCTGGTTGGTTGAGCCGGCATGGAAAGCCATTGTTACGCTTCTATGAGTGGCACCCGGGCGATCTCTCTCTCTCTCTCTCTCTCTCTCTCTCTCTCTCTCTCTCTCTTTCTCTTTCACAGCCTCGGCTTCCCCATCGAGAAGCTGCGAGCGAGACGAGGAGAACCGAGGAGGGAGAGAGACGAAGAGCCGCTTGTAATTACATGGCTTTTATGTACGCGAGAAGGGGCTCTCTCTTTCTCTTTGTCGTGCTCTTTTTCTAGCCTCCGCTCGCTCATCTTCTCCTTGCGGCCTCGCTTCTTCCTTCTCTTTTTCTCGCGACCTCGCGCTCCTCTTTTTTTCTTCTCTTCTCTTCTTTGCGCTCCCTCTTTTCTCCTTTTCTCTTCCTCTCTCCGGAGTAGAGCAGCGACGCGTCCTCTTCTCCCTCCTTCTCGAACACAAACACACGGATGGACGGACACGCGCGCATGCATACCGGAAAGCCGAACGAAGTGCACGCGAGCGAACGAGAGAGTTAAGTGACCCGACTCGCGCTCACGTGACCTCGTCGTGCAATGAGCCGCGAGGCTCCTTCCAGCCTCGTGACTTCAGATACGTCTCTCTGTCATCTTGTCGCCGCGCTCCTTTCCCGATATCTAGCTCCGCTTTCTTCGGCAGATATTCGGCTCCGACATCGATCATTTTACTCCAAGAGACGTACAAACGATATAGAATTGTTCGACAATTGTCACTTTTACTAAATTCTTCTACTACAAAAATTATACAGGGTGTATCTAAATTTTTTTCTTATATAAACTTGTACTAAAAATTAATCAGGTGTTGTTGTTGATTTCATATTTTCCCTTCTAATGATGCAGGAAGATCAAAAAAATATTAATAAATATTCCTTTTATTATTGGAAAATATTCACCAAGTTTCATTTTTTTAATTTGTCGGAAATTTGAGAAAAAAAAATAAAAACTTAATTTTTACCTCCCTCTTTAGAAAAGTGTAACTCCCCTTTAATTTTCGATAAAGAATCAACTTATCGGAACATCCGTTGGATGACTGAAGATAAAGAAGTTTTCGCAAACTAAGCCTTGTGAAAATAAAATACTAAGAGACCTATATATTTTCAGCTAATTTCAGGTCGAATTTGATTTAATAAAGTTTTAATTTAAGGCTTAGTTAGATTAAATTGGATTTAGTTACAAAGATATGTTGTGGCAAAAATCGATGATTTTCGACATTTTCATTGAGGAAAAATCATTTCCAAATAACCTTAGGAATTTCTCAAGAGATAAGCTTGGACAGTGTTGTGCTTTATAATTTTATTATTCAGATAACAGCAAATACTGATCCTATATCATTTGGAGACGATTTTTCCTTAAAAATGTTGAGGCAAAACATCATTTTTAGCATGTTCCTAATTTTTGTTATTACGTATCTTTATAACTAAGCCTTATATTAAAATTCTATAAAAGCAAACTCTAAAATTAACCGAAGAATGTAGTTCCGTTAATATTTTATTTCCACAAGGCTTAGTTTCCAAAAAAAGCCTTGGAAAATTATTAATGGCTCGACATTTTCGCCGAGGAAAAATCGTACCTCCGAATGACACCAAGAATCTGCTGTCATGAAAAACTTTCCTGCCAATTCTGGGACACCCTGTGCACCTTTTTTTAAATTTTAATATACAAAAGATGGCGAGAGATAAGTATCGAATAACTACCCCGTAAGTATATAGCCAACCATCCTCGATACCGGCATAGAGCCCATAGTTCCCAAGGTTATTTCTCGGTGTCAAGAGACACCACCGGCATATATACAGTGCAGAGCCGCATCGTATCGCTTAATGGAATGATGAGACAGACGGGCTGTCTGCGGTTTCGCTGACAGACAGTCACAGTCCGACTGACTTGGCTTACGAGCTGCACGCGGGGACCACCGGAAGCGGCCCATCACCGCCCCACATTCCCGACTTCCGCTCTCATCCGCTCGAATCCCGGGACTTCTCTTTTTACGTCTCTCCTTGTTACATTACTGCCTTTTTCTCCGACGAACGCGGAGTCGAGCGCGCGTGTCGATTTTTACGAAATTTCATTCTTGCGAAATACTTTCTCGTTTGATCGAGATCTCGTGAGATCCGCAGCTTCAAAAGAAACTTGGAGAAAATCGAAAGAAAACCTACGGGGTATTCTTTATATTACGAGTGTCTGAGAAAAATATTTGGGAGTTCCTATATAGGAATACAAATGGAGAATTTTCCAGGGGCAAAATCATTAATAATACGCAGGAAATTTCATTTTAAGAGAATTCTCGAAGAATTTCATCTGTTGGGAATCGAACAGATCAAATAGATTTACAAGTATATAAGTATACTTCAAAATATACATATACGTAAAAATATATTTTTCTCGTTCATTAAACATTAGAAAAAAAATTAATTTCTTATATATATATGTATCATGTATGCGATGATAAAAGAGAAGCTAGGTCCGAAAAAATGGCGGCCCAGCGCGACCGCACAAAAATCTGCGATGCAATTGGCCCCGATCTTTTTTAAGTGTTGCATCAGTATGCACTCTTGTTAGGGTCTTTTGAACCGTCTCCAGGTGCGGTCGTTTCCTCGCTTAGTCGGTTGTGATGAGTAAAAAATGGTCTCTAATTCGGGAACGTTTCAATGCCGTCGAGAAGGAATAAAATATTTTCGTGCAAAAATAATACAATTGATTCTCGAGTATCGGAGAACAGAAATCCTCATAAAGGACCAATCCACAATTTCGTCTCTCAATCTTCAATTTATTTATTATATAAATATTATATTAATTACATACAGGACGTTAATTGCAGATTCTTGGGTTTCTTCTCAATGAAAATGTCGGGGCATCGCAGTAATTTTCAGGTTACAAGTGATGGAACATAAAGACTTTTTCATAAACTAAGTCTCGTGGAAATAAAATATTAACGAAACTACATTCTCTCTAGTTAATTTCAGATAGAGTTTAATTTATAATTTTTAATAGAATTCCAATTTAACGCTCAGTTGCAAAAATACATGATGACAAAAAATGATGACCTGCCTCGACACTTTCGCTGTAGAAAAATCATCTCCAAATAACTTTAGGATCTTCCATTAAGATAATCCGGAACATCTTGTATATTATATTTTTTAAATGTATATCTTCGAAAATGCAGGGACACGTACGGAAAAAATTTCTCATCAATTAGTTTCGCAAAAATAGGTACCTGCGTTTAACAGTTTAGCATCCTATCATTCGAGGAATATTAATTTTTTAGATATATATATCTTCGAAAAGCTATATAAGAAATAATCTTGGGAATTTTAAGCAGTGACACGTGCGGGAAAAATTTCTCATATCAATCGTTTTCGCAAATTTAGCATCAGGCTTCCGATCAGCCGCTGCACTGTAAAAAATATGTAATATATTACACAAGAATATGTAAAATTACATAAATAATAAGTGTAAAGTAAAAACACGATAGATAATAGAAATGTTTACCTTTTCATTATTTATCATGTAATTTTACATTTATTATTTATGTAATTTACATATTTTTTTACAAGTGTGTATGCGAATTATTTTTAAAATTAAAATTTTTTATTATTCAAATATATAGATGCACTGTAAAAAAATCTGTAATATATTACACAAAAATATATAAAGTTACATAAACAATAAGTGTAAAATTACACGTTAAATAATAGAAATGTGTACATACCTTTTCATTATTTATCGTGCAATTTTACATTTATTATTTATCTAATTTTCCATACTTGTTTTCCAGTGCGAGACGAAACGTGGAGCGAATCACGATACGAATTCCGGCGAAGCGCGCAGACTGCGGCTTTCCTCGCGCCAAATTACGCGCATTACAACGGGATGAATCTATTAAAGTTTCGGCGAGACCCTACCTTGCAATCATATACCTACATGCGAAGTGGCGCGTCTTAATGGCGCGTTATCGCAGGTTCGGCCGGCCGTATCGACCGCAGGATCTCTCGGGCCGCTCCCGAGGCGTAAAGATGGCGAACGGACCTGAGAGCGAGATTAACAAGGTGCCCCCGGAGGGGCTCGAAATACCTGAAGGCAAGAGAGAGAGAGAGAGAGAGAGAGAGGCCGCCGCTCGTCGCTTGTGCCGGCGCACAATAGCCGTAACGTAATAAGGGAAAGCAACACACTCGCTCACGCACACAAACGCGCACGTATTGACACGCACACTTATTTACTTCGAGGCAGGTGTACCTGCTTGCCTACCTACCCTGGCGAGCCTGGCCTGTCGGGTAGGTAGAGGTATAACCGGTCGATACCACGCTCCGATTATAGAGGAGCGGCCGACACTGAATTCTGCATGAGGCTTTTGTTCCGCTCTCTTTCGCCACGGCCAATCGGATTTTCTATTTTCGCGCGTCCCGCTACCCTCACCTTATATTCCTGGCTTTCATCCCTCTCCTTCGCCGTCGATTTTTCAATCGCGACTTTTCGCGAAAATTTATTGCGCGCGGAAAACGTTTATGCGTATGTGCTGTGGAAAAAGAAACTACGCGTGTATATGCATGCGCACGTGACAGTTGAAATGTCATTTTTGGATTAATTAAAATTCTTCGTCAAGTATATGCATTTTTACTTTTATATTTATCGCGCAGACGGACGGCGATTTTTAGAGGGATATTGTGTATCTTATTCGTATATACAGGGTTTTATACTGTTATCTAAATAAAATTATATATAGATGATGATTTGGATAAAATTTGACGTAATAAAAATATGTATTTTATCTGTATCTTAAATGAAAAAAGTCATGACATAATCTAGAATAAGATAATTTGGTTCAGAGTCATAGCACAAATACTTCATTAATAAAACTTATAAATAAAAAAAGTATGAATAAATGTTTATATCCTTTCTATAATTTTTTTTTTATAATTGAGTTTACATAAACGGTCTTAAAAATATTATCTAGAAGTTATCTAGATAAATCGCTATATAATTTTATCTTTTATCTCTAGAATCTATTGTAGATATTTAATTAACAATATATTTTCATCTCATATTTATCTAGCTAATTTTAAAATTATCCAACACTGCGTGTGTACGTAATCATAGGACATAAAATGTAATAGAAATGCAATTTATAAATATCTTGTTTAGGTAAAAGATAAAAGCAAATTTACCGAAATCATTCGTTCTCAACGCATCTTCAGGTTATACAGGGTGTCCGGTAACTAACGGACCAATGATTAAGGGCGGATTCTCTGGCCAATTTGGAGACGATTTTTCCTTAGCAAAAATGTTGAGAAGTCAATAATTTTCGAGTTATAAGCGATTGAAAAAATGGGTTTTTTGAAAACTAAACGGTTTGGAGTTAAAAGTCTAACATAATTACATTCTTCAGTTAATTTCAGGTAGAGTTTACTATAATAAAATTTTAATTTGAAGCTTAGTTATAAAGATACATAATGACAAATATTGGAAAGTTGTAAAAAATGATGACCTTTTTCGACATTTTCGCTGAGGAAAAATCGTTCCCAAATTGACCAAAGAATCCATTTGTAATCGTTGGTCCGTTAGTTACCGGACACCTTGTATATCTCTTTTTAGACATTTAAGATGGAGAAAACACAGCCTCTGAAAATGTCTCTTTTTACTGTCATCTTTTATACAGAGTTTCTTAGGCAAGTTGTCAAAACTAATCAGCTGTCATTTTTAAACGCACATACAGAGAGTAAAAAAATAAAATATCTTCTAATGAAGTTTTATTTGCATGTGGACTAAAGATTATTAGATATGTTCCTAAGATGAGCGATTCATGGATTTTTGTAACTCGCGTTTTTAGTGCGATAATCCAACATCAAAGATAAATATTGTATTAAAAAAGAGAATAGCTTTTCAGCGTCAAATATGTTCATTAAACCTCGTTCAAAGAGTTTGAAACTCATACTAAACTATATAATTATAGCCTCGTTTTGGACTGAAAGCATCGGGTGATGTAAAGTAAATCTCATTTCGCGCTTCAAATACACATATGAAACCTATCATACATTATAGATCCTGTTTGCCAGTTTTGTTTTGTTTTTTTTTATTAAAGAATAAGTTTTTAAACATTTATTTGCTAATACTTTGTTAATAAATAATGAAGCTAAATCTTTCATTCAGAATAATCTTTAAAAACATATGTCAAAGTAAATGTGTTGAGAGAAGACAGTCCTTATTCTTTAATTAAATATAGGTTTTTTTAACACTTAGATTATTTAATTTCTCACAATACAAAACTTATTTTTATGATTTAATTTTCGTGATAAATTCATTTTCATGTGGACATTTTAATAATAAATATTGAAATGTCGCTTCTGAAACATTAAAAAGTTCCGCGTAAAAATTGTCCAGCATTACATTGTGTGATCTCAATTAAAAATTCATTAACAAAATCAAGAGGAAACGTCAACGATAAAAAAAAAAAAAATTTGGCCGATCGAGTAATTTCTTTCGAGATTTGGAATGAAATCGCATCCCCGTGGTTTTTGTGGGATAAAAGCGCCGCGGGGATGGAGAGAACGGATGTATATCGGAAGGATCATCGATACGAGTTCGCAAACACTTTCGAACGCCGGCAATCAGTGACGTAATCAGATGTGGAGCGTGAATATTCATGAACGCATGCGCGCACGCTTATTAGCATAACTCGTCCGCTTTAATCCATTAATCGGGGACTAAGCAGCGAGCTACCGCGCTTAACTGCATCGTCCAATTAATATGATTGACCGAAGGAATGTTTCGTTTGGATCCAGATGCAATAAAGATATAAAAAAAAAATAGTTGAAAAATTTGTTCAATTTAACAGATATATCCAACACGTCCCAAACGGCCCACAAAAATGTTCGTGTTAATTTAATACATAATAAAGACACGAATATTTTAACACACAACTTAAATCCAAACTTGGAGCAATTTAAAATAAATTTTGTGTAAAATTAAACATAGTATTGATGTAAAAATTAATTAAAAATATGTTAATTTTAGATTTTATTTCCACTTATATATTATGAAATAAAAATCAATATTTTTTTTCTTTTAAATAATAGATGCACATTGTATTATTTTTACACTCTTTTGTTTTAAATTATTTTAATAATTTAATATTTAAATTCAATTAATATAACAGCAATATGTTAATTAACACATGAATGTGTTAAATATTTAACACACAAATTTTAACAAGAAAATACAAATTTTCCAACTGTGTAGGATATTAAAAAAATGTATGAATGAAGTGTATATGTATGTTAAATATGCAGAATATTTTAAACATTTTTATGTATGATTTAAATAGCGTCTAAATGAAAAAAAAATGTAACGACGCGATTTTTTAACTTTGAAAGAAGAATCCTGTCGAAGTAAAATAAGCACGGGAAGAAACGTTATCGAGAATGTCGAACGAAGCATTTTGATCAACATGCCGTATCACGTCGATCGGTGAATGTCATCGATACGAATGTCACGAATTCCGATGCGTCATCCATTGTCGATCTTATATGTGAATAGGTCATTTCGATTCTCATATGATGATTATAGCGCCTTGTTCCGGATATGATATGTCTCATTCATCTTTCACTACTTTACTTACATTACCCATACAGCACAAAATATTATGAATGTTTTCCAAAAATATTTCTATAAAATATTGCATAAAAACATTTTAAAATGGTTTAAGGAATATTTTAAAATAATTTAAAAATTTTTTGTGATAAAATTGTTTATATTTTTTAAAATTTTTAAAAATGTTCTTTATCGCTCAGATAATATTTTCTTAAATATTTGATACATATCTTTGAAATATTAGTTTAAATCTATATTCAAAAACATTTCTGAAAATATTTTTTAAACGTGAAAAAGCGGACATAGAAACATTTTAAAAATATTTTGTGCTGTATGGGTTACTTGTAATGCTTCTTTCTGATAGACTTTGTAATTCAAAAAACAATGAATAACAAAAATTTTGATAATCATTTTTTTAACTTTAGATATTTTGAGTATTTTTCGGCGTGATTTCTGTGCATGTATCCAATATTTTATAATACGAACAAATGAGCGTTCAATTTCCTTCAAAAGAAAGTATCTTTTAGAATTGGTGGCGAGTTATTTCTCCAACATAACTTGTCGAAATTTAATTGATCTTTTTCATGAAAGTATAAATGGAAATAAATAAACGTCGAGAAAATATCGAAAGTTCCTAGAACCGGAGATAATATCGCGTAAATCGAGATTGCGATTTAATTGCAGTTTTTCGATTAAAAACCAGTATTATGAATTTATGAATTAAACAATGTTCGGATTGTTCGCTAATTGTTTTGATCAATGTTTGAGTGACACGGAATATGTCGGTTTTGTTGACAAATTTCTCATATTTCAAATCGATTTGAAAGAAAACGCTATTTGCACGGCTCAGTATTTTCAATCTTTACTTTTTCTCGTATTAGAAATTAAGTTGATAATAGAGGATTTTTTTATATCGTTCTTTTTGTCATATTATTGTGTTCCACATTTCGAAATATAAATCATTATAAATTGTGCGCGTCATAAATATTGAAAGAGTCGATTGAAATATCAAGCGATTGTATCGTATTAATTAATTTATGATACTGTTTCAATTTTGTCGTTCGGAAGTTTGTGTCAGTGAAACAGAGGTGATGAAAAATTAAAATAAATTTCGAGCAGAAATTAACTTGGACCGTAGCTTCTAAATAATAACGTAAAAGCTAGTATTTTATATATTTGAATATATTAGAGTCGAAATTTTATATTACTGTTTTCAATCTCAATTTTCTCATATTTACAGAACCTGATAAGTTTTTTGATAGGTGCGTACTTTTATATCAGAAAATTTAATTTATATAATTTATTTATTATAATTTCAATGTTTATTACATTATATATATATATTTATATCTCTTTATAATCTATTTAATTGATATAGGAAAGATTTATCTCTACTTTGTACCTCAATTAAATAATTATTGAATAGATTCCCACTTAAAGATTTAAGTTGTTTTCAGCAAAATTACAAGAAGAAAGTGATTTGATTGTTTAAAGTATCAAAGTAGATGTTAGATTAAATATTGAGTCAAAACTAGGAGGAAAATTTCGATTCGAATAATTAACTATATAATTATATATTTAATTTCTGTATTATCACTCATCATCGAATTACGATAATATTATGATTTAACGATCATTTTATCGTAATGTAATTCGAATGAAGATTAGAAATACGAGATTTCAGTCAAGTCCGACACAAAGAGAGTAATACATAAAATTATATATAAAATTCATTTTCATATTTATATTAATTTTTGCTCCATAAAAATGATTTCGTTTCTGAAAATAATAATTTCGGATTTTATTACAAGGCGCTATGTAATACAAAATTTGACATTTATGCTGCGTTGATCGCCGCACATTATTGAGAGAGCGAGCTCAACTTTTGACACTTAAGAGGATATGTAGATCTTGCGGATGCATAATGAAGAGACGGAACGTGTTGGGCGGGATATTATTACTTTGCATCGCAAGTGCGTAATTACGCAATCATGAAACTGGTCCGAGCAGATCTGGAGCTTGATTAATAAAGAGATGAAAGCTTGCGTATTTATCACGATGCTGACTGTCTGCTCCATATGTCGCCGTATTCAGAAATATCCTCCGCTTCGAAAGTCGAGGCGCGACTTTAAATAATTAATTCAGATAAGCGCGAGACCTGCGATTTATTTCCGAATCTCCGTTTTTATCAATTCCTCCGCTATTTTTAGCTAATTGGCGAACAACTCTTATAGTGTACATGCACCGAAATGC